TCGTCCACATCAGCAGACGGTTGCAAAGCCTCAAAGGTGTAGTAAGTACACTTCTGACGACAAAGGTTGGCCTAGAACAACTCCCAATTAGTTCTTGAGAATATCAGATCACTGAGTGCATGTCTGTGCACCTTGTGGCCACAAGGCCGACCGGCAAGAGAGACAGTGAAGAGGATGGGAGAGTGGTCACTTCGGTAGGGGTACCCGTCCATTACCCTCCAATTGGTGACATGCAAATCGATGGTACCAAAGGTGGCGTCGATGGTGGAGCGGAGATGGTCCGCACTTGAAGCGGCGTGGTGGTAGGTGGGGGTGATGTTGTCCGTATCATTGAAACAGATGAGACCGCTGCCGGTGATGAGCTCCTCCATTTCCCGGCCGAAGCGCCAGGCTGTACTGTTTCGGGACAGAATATTGGCGGAATAGATGCCCCAGAGGTGGCTGTACCCATTAGTGTCGCCACCTATAATAATGTCGTTACCAGAGTCGACCAGGTCCAAGATGGGGTGCAAGTGCCTGACATCTGGCAAAGATGGCGGGTTATAGAAAGAAATGATGGTCAACTTCTCGGACGATATGGCCGTCAAGTTGCTACCTGAAAGATGAAAGTTCAAGGCAAAGGAGCGGGCTAGAGTTTTCGACATAATGATACAGGTGTTAAAGAGAGGAGCACTAGCGAAGACCTGAAAGCTATCGGCGTTGTATATGTTGTTGTTGTTGTTGTTGTATATGTTGTTGTTGTTGTATATGTTGTTGTTGTTGTTGTTGTTGTTGTTGTATATGTTGTTGTATATGTTGTTGTTGTATATGTTGTTGTTGTTGTATATGTTGTTGTTGTTGTATATGTTGTTGTTGTTGTATATGTTGTTGTTGTTGTTGTTGTATATGTTGTTGTTGTTGTATATGTTGTTGTTGTTGTTGTTGTTGTATATGTTGTTGTTGTTGTATATGTTGTTGTTGTTGTTGTTGTTGTTGTTGTTGTTGTTGTTGTTGTTGTTGTTGTTGTATATGTTGTTGTTGTTGTATATGTTGTTGTTGTATATGTTGTATATGTTGTATATGTTGTTGTTGTTGTTGTTGTTGTTGTTGTTGTTGTTGTTGTTGTTGTTGTTGTTGTTGTTGTTGTTGTTGTTGTATATGTTGTTGTTCTTGTTGTTGTATATGTTGTTGTTGTTCTTGTTGTTGTTGTTGTTGTTGTATATGTTGTTGTTGTTGTTGTTGTTGTTGTTGTTGTTGTTGTTGTTGTTGTTGTTGTTGTATATGTTGTTGTTGTTGTATATGTTGTTGTTGTTGTTGTTGTTGTTGTTGTTGTTGTTGTTGTTGTTGTTGTTGTATATGTTGTTGTTGTTGTTGTTGTTGTTGTTGTTGTTGTTGTATATGTTGTTGTTGTATATGTTGTATATGTTGTATATGTTGTTGTTGTTGTTGTTGTTGTTGTATATGTTGTTGTTGTTGTTGTATATGTTGTTGTTCTTGTTGTTGTTCTTGTTGTTGT